TCCTCAACTTACAGAACCACATCAGCAGAAAAAAAGACGAACAACATTATGTGGTAGCTGAACATCGTTATCACACAACCAATCTTGTAACGCGTTTACCGTTGACAGATAAGCAACTGGTAGGCGACGGCATGTTGAGACCGACACTTCTCCTTTCAAAAATTTTTATTAAATCACCATCGGTAAAAGCCGGTTCGATATGATGTTCGTCGCATCAATACCGAAAGATATGGCTTCTTGTCGTATTCCGTAGCAAACCCTCAAACAAATAAAATCTGATTCATCTAACTGATTAAATCATTAACTGACTGCTTGATTGATTATTAGAAAATTTATATTTATTGCAAAGGACAGCATATTACGATAGCTGACAAAAATGGGACCTGGCTGAAGAGCTAAACGTGGCAGTTAAAACGAAAAGCGATGAAAATCAGAAAAGTCTCTGATGAGTCATCTGCAGTTGTCTCTATTTCGGAACAAAGTGAATACTAACGAAAGCGATTAGTTCACCTGCTGCGTAGTTAAAAAAATACGAATGCGACGGACTGGCTCACCTGCAAAGGAAACGTGACACATTTGTTACCGACGTAACCGGAGACAACGTGGCTCTGCACTGAAAGCACCCGCGGTATGTCGTCGGCCATTTATGCGATGGCTACGCGAAATTCCAGACTAGAGGCGGCGACGTCTAAAAAAATATTTTTACAGTCAAAACAACCCACGGTCGTAAAAGAAGGACAGCAACTACAAATAGGTATGCATGAAAAAACTTATAACTAATGGCCTCGAGCACAACCCACCATTTTCTGAAAACAACTTCTATTTGAAATCTGTGCGTTACAGATTTAAAGCGGCAAAAGCTATTTCATACATTGGCACCAAGGTGATAATCATACCTGCGCAGCGAACTGTCGAACAAGTGCACCATATCCACTTACTTTGAGTGCGCCAACGACAGTAAGACTGCGACGCGGTGTGCCACTTTAAATTGCTCTAGAGGAACAACTGTGTAAAATTCCACTGTGCCCAGTTGCATAGACTTAAGAAACATCTTATCAGGATGGCAAATCCACCAATTTTGTCAACTGCTCTATTTTCTATACATTAGCTTCTTGTGATTCGTTCCTGCTGAAGAAAAAACTCCATTTCGCACGCAACGTCGACAGACATACAGAGCTCACTTTCGGAATCGCACGTCCATAACAGGTTAAGTCTAAGTAGCCATGTTTCTTTCTGCTGTATATTTACTTAGACATACTTAAACAATTTTCTTAAACTTTTTCATGTCTCTCAGCTGCTGCAGAATAGAAAATGCAGATATTAAGCATCTAAAATGCTATCCCCTTCGCTGTTTGAAACACTTTTGGCATTCGCCCGTCCAATCTCTGAAAAACAGTTCTAAACACAATGGAAATCCGATCGAACACGACTAAGAAACTTATACCTCCTTACGTTTCGACAAAACAACGATTTCTTCCGGCTAAAATACACTACTAATACTTAAATTCAGTAGTATGAAATGTTAAACTACCCGCTGCCGGCGCTAAGCTCAGATTAGAAAGGAAGAGGGCTGGATACGGTGGCACAGTTTCCATTAAAACTTTGTCAACTGCCCATATGTAGCATTAGGACCACCGAACATCACACCGGCTCGGTCATCGCCCGGGTTACCAAAGGCCGCGAAGGCTGTGAGAAAACTGAGAGCGCAATCCGAAAAGTAAGCGACCAGAATCAGCATCACGCATTGTGGCATCTGCGGGTGTAGCAGTACGGCAACGGCTGACGAACGAACTTCACAAAGATGACGAATATAGTAGTGAGCAGCATAGTCGCTACTCGTTTTGGATGGATGCGGCAGACAGCACGATGACATTATAGCAAGCCAGATAAACTTTCACGTAAACGATACTAACAGTGATAGTTCACAGTCAGAGGAGCATGATGATGAGACCACCGTGTTTCAACTGGACACAGCTCAATTTTCGACAACGAAACGCCAGGGGTCTAGAATTCTGAAAGTCTGTGGGTGAAAGCTTTGCTGCTAAAGTGTCGACACTAAGATCCACGCTCAGGCCGGTATTGGCGTTACGATATAACCCAAACTGGCTAATAATCATCGTACAGAAGTCTGTCAGCGGAAATGGTTTGCAAAGGAGAAAGCTTTGACTTTGTTACAGGCTTATGCACACAATTCGGGAGAAAAATATGCGACTTTACTAGATGCTGCTCCGAATAACGTGCTGATTATGGAATCCATCATTCTGACGGCCGATTCCAATGCACATATCAGAGAGCGACTGAAAAGTAAAAAGACGTGATGGTAAAGAACGGCTCTAGCAACCTCAACAATAACAGCAAGAAGTTGGTGCGGTTTTGAGGAAACAACGCACCCTCTAATGAACACCTTCCTTGAGCATCGAAGCATGCATCAGTATAGCTGGTATAAGGAAACTTGTACACAGAAGTCAAATATCGATTTGAAATCATACCGTCTGATTCATGACGCTTTGTAATTTATGGATGTAATTTGACGAATTACATCGATTGTCAACCGAACACACCTTGTTGGTGGCACCCTCCAACATAACGAGGAAATACAATGCAAAAACTTGGTGGCTGAAGAAACAGATAATCAAATGTTAAACACTTTCTTCTGCTGATATGACGGCGAAACTATCAAGAACATCACAAGACGTTTCGACAGATCCCAGTCATAACGATTGATCTGAAAACCACCAAACAGAGGCTCACTAAATCTGAATTATTCAGGGGTTGCGGTGGTTTGAAAAGCGTTAAACTGTTGCATGGGGCTCACGGTGGAACATTTTGGTGGACATCAGAGGTTCAACTGGCAGTCAGCCAAAAGAAGGCTGCGCTCATGAAGAACATTGGAAACAAAGCCTTGGGCTCAAATATGATACGAGGAAGCGCATAAGGCCGAAGTTCAAGCAGTGACAGAAGGGAAAAGCTCTGTGAGGCGCTGGATTCGAATTTCCAGACAGCACAAAGTATTTTGGCACATCATTGACCGCCTCCGAGTTGGAAAGTAAGGCATTCTGGGGGTCTCGAAGGACAAGTCCAGAAGCCTTCGTGTCACCTAAAAGAATTTACTTCGGCGATGGAGGGAGTACTTTTGGGGATTTTATAATCCCGAGAAAAGCACAGAGACTAGCCTAAACAGCATCATGGAACAGATATTAATCTTTCAGTTAATGAAGTCGCAAAAGCCGTAAAAAGCTAGAAGTGTCAATGTTGTAAGAGGCGGCAAAATCCGTCTTGACATGGTAAACCTTTACGTTAACAAAACATGCTGCGATACACGTGGCTGTCAAACTGCAGTAACCATAGGAAAGATACCTGCAGACCCAAAAATGGGTGTTCGAGTAACCTTGTTCAAGAAAAAAAATCATGGAGAATACAGTTATCCAGTTATCTGTGAATTAACTTATCAAGCCTACCACATTAAGTCTACACAAACGTGTTGGAAAGAAAGTGTTCAGAACTCTTGTTTGCTTAGATCAGCATCTTCAGCCGTTTGCACAAGCAGAACTTCTCTGATGTGATGTTCGCTGTATCCGCAGCTTTTCAACGCCAGTGCTATAAGGCGTCGGTTACTGTATCGCAGAAAGAAATGTTTCTGAAAGCAGATCTGACTCTACCTTGTCTTCCAGATTGCATACTGACATCCTGGTCGACGACTGCTATTTCCGCTTCCACGCGATAAGCTCACCGACTGGAATAAATTGTATATGCTCAAACAGTTTGTTTCGCAGAACTAAAATCCTTTTCTAAATCTGCAGATCAACTGAGATCACCCGTTCCTGGAAGAGAACAGTCATTCATTAAGTGATCCAGTCATTTGACCCTCACTATTCGTCAAAGCCAACGTTGCTGTACGCCGCACAACCGTGTTCTTGCCCATTGGTTAAAACAACTGTCTCCGTGCAAAAGTGACCAACAAGACTGTCCGGACAGAGACAAGGAACAGCCGGATTTTCACAGGAAGTGTAACTCCTTTCTCCGCTTAAATATTCGAAAAATATCCAAAAGCACTCAGCGTCTGGGTGATTTTAGTCCAGTTTAACTCTGGTT